TAGTAACATCTAGAAGTCTGCTGATTTTATTGGATGATCCATAGATGTGTGGCTCCTCTTGCATGATAGTATGATGATAGATGGAATTACTGGTGTCAATTTCACTTTGCCTCAGATCTACAAGATCTTGTTGAAGTTCTCGGTGTACTGCTGCTCTCAGATTGCTCATTGACAATCCAAGGTTACACTCAACGGCTCCTTTAAAGGCAGATTCTTTGGCTAACTTATCAGCTCTATCATGCATTCGGAGGCCAACATGAGATAGAGACCACATGAAATGGACTGTTACCATCCTTAATAATTTTGTTGTATTTGTGTCTAGCTTCGGACACGAGCATGTTACAGTTATGTCTTAAAGAGTTGAGAGCATTTAAGGATGATAAGGAGTCACTTACAATTAATGTATCAAGTTTTGAGACTTGTACACATTTCAGTGCAAGGATCAAGGCAAATAGTTCAGTCTGAAGGGTAGAGGCCCAGTTGTTTATACGGACTCCCCACTCAAAGTACAGGTATAGGCCATCGCCCATTGTCATGACAACTGCACTTCCAGCTGCACCCGTGGTGCGGTGTAGGGAACCATCAGTGTATATAATTTGAGAGAGAGAATGCTCTGTGGACAGAGCATCAATATGGCTTAAGGCGTTGAGCTTTGCCTCAAGACGAAGCTTGGACTGATCTCTAATTTGCTTCTTGGGTGGAAAGGGAGGGATTAAAACTGGAAAGGGTGTAACCTCCCACGGTGCAGGAAAGTGCCGTTGTTGTTTCTCTTGGTACAAATCATGAACCCCATACATTCTGAGTTGAGTTCCAGTTTTTGTTATCCATTTGGAACAATGCTGATCTTCAATAAAGAAATTCTGGAGGGCTTCTGTGCAAGGATTAGGATGAGTTAGCCTAAGCATTTTTATACCAATTTGACAGTTAATTTCAGTAACACGATCAACAACGCTCAGAATATTAAGTTCCTTTCTCATATTAAGTATCTTTGTGGTACGAGGGCACCCAAGGATTATCCTCAAGGCTTCGTTCTGCAATTTTTCAAGCCCTCCAAGCTTTCTTTCAGGCATCAAAACAAGCAGAGGTGCAGCATAATCCACTAAAGATCTGATGTATGCAAAGTACATCATTTTGACAATTCTGACATTGGCACCATAGCCTGAGTGATAACCTGCAACAGCCTTGAGAGCTCGGAGCCTCTCTTTAAACTGACGACAGAGTCTGAATACAACAGGACCATACAGTGGCACCTCAAGGCCAAGGTATTTGAATCTGTTTACATAGTCAAGCTGGGAGCCATCAGACAGTTGCATCTTGCGAACAGCTCCTCCCTGCCTGGGTGGGCGCCGATTTAGTATCTTTGTTTACATCATAAATTAAATTTGCGATAATTTGAGCAGAGAAGTTCGACGACTGGATCACTGTGTACAGAAGGTTGATATGCCAGCAAACACTTTCCAGAGAGCAATATATCTTGGATAAGTCGCTCCGCGATATTGTTGCTTGGACCATCGACTTCCTTTGATATTACATATTTACATCTTATTTTGTTATGAAATGATATTTTTTCAGAGTAAAATTATGTTTTCTCATTTTCTGCATCCAGCATCCACATTATAATGAGTAAATATACCATATTACTTCATTGCTTACGTAATGCTAGGAAGGTTTGAGTAGCTTTGGGTCTTTAGTGGACAGAATCTCCAATAGATGGGGCGAGAGTCGCCCCATCTCTCTCGACCGGGCGGGACTCGAAACTTAAATTAAAATTGCTATATCATTGGTCTCCAACATGATATATTTCCTTTGATGCACTCACAATAACGATTATAGCTCTGTCTTTCTGGAGGCATGTAATATTTTAGGCTTTATTAGCGTATCTTTGTTAATTACACAACATATTGGCAAGTGCGTAGGCGTCTGCACTCCATGATCGAAAAGCTACTGAACGCCACTATAAAAACATATATATCTTCACTTGAGCTTTAAATATGTCTAATGTAATGTATTTAAAATAAAGCTTATATTTCTATCTTTCTTAAGACGTGTAAAACATTTGTGTTTATTAACGAATTTACGTAAAATAAACATTCTTCTGAGAGAGTTGCTCTGTCGCTCAGTCTATGCGGGGGTCGGAGCTCGGCGATTATTAAAATACATGAATCTTCATTAGAACTTTAATTATGTCTATGATAAAGTGTTTAAAATGAGCCTTATATTCCTATCTTTCTTGAGGCATATAAAAAATTTACATTTATTTACAAATTTACGTGAAATAAGCATTGTTCTGAGAGAGAGTTGCTCCGTCGATCGATCTGTCCGGAGTCGGAGCTCGACTATTATAAAAGTACACGTATCTTCGCTTTAAATTTAAAAATGCCCATGGTAAGGTATTTAGAACGAAGCTTATATATCTGTCTTTCTTGTGACATATAAAACTTTTACGTTTATTAAGGAATCTGCGTGAAATAGGCATGGTTCTGAGATGAATGCTGCGGTTTTCGAGTTTGACGAGCGATGAAAACTGCCACTTTTATACAACTACAAATATCTTCGGTTTTACTTAAAATATTTGTCTGGTAGAGGTTTTACATATAGATCGCGTTTCTGTCTTTCTTCTGACTAATAAATAATTTTGGTTTAATCAGTTATCAAGATGCTTTCAACAATATTCTTTCAGCGTTCGTCTTTTCCAACTTGGGCGACCCTTTTGGAAGCGCGATACTTGGGTTAACCCATCCTATAGTTGGGTCTGTTTCCAACTGGGGTTCGAATATAATCACCTGTCAATTTATATTTTAGTGATTTGTAGATATAAAACCTTGCTACAATGTACCTTTTCATCTTATCTGACGTTAGATTAAGGACCTGCCTGAAATGCTATGCATGTTGGTGTCTTTGCAAGAATGTACAAATACCAATCTTATGTAATCTCGCCAACACATTGCACCTTCGTTTTAATGAAGTTATTATTAATTAATAAGCATTATTACCATTATTATTTACAGAGTTGCGATTCGAACAGAGGTCGACAGAGAAGTACCATTCAAGAAATGTTTGAACATTTGTTGCGAGTCGTGTGAAACCACTTAAATTCATAAGTAAGGAATTTGGGGGCACAATTTACGAGTATTTTGCCTTTGTTGATGTGAACAGGCTGAAGACACACCAGGTAACAAAATATCGATTGGTTCAGTAGGTCGATAATAGTTTAAGAAGTTTAGGATGTTCAGTTAAACTGTCAAACCCCAAATGTGTGAACCCTCCGTGTCCAAGTATTATCAGACAACCCGTCCTCTGACCATGTCCATGCCATCCAGAGGTTGACCCCAAAGATGCATATTCATCAATTTTAACATGCTGTTCATTCAAAATTACTATTTTATCAAATATAAATTAATATTGTTATATTAGCATACTGTGCATAATTTAGGCATTGGTTAGGTGTTTAGGTTCTGTTGATTATTTTGTAGTATGTGGGTGAAGCATTTACAACATTGTGGTTCGAACAAAAGTCGTCAGCAAACCACTCGAGTTGCGAGTCTTGTGTAAACCGTTTTTTCCATTCATTAGTTTTTAATTTTAATTAAATTTTTAATAGATTTTTTTGGCAGGTGCATGTAATGGACTTTAAGTCTTTATGAGGATGGGTTATATTTGAATACTGCAGCCAATCCTAAACTAAGCCCCAAGTCCATTCCATGCAGCAGGCAAACACTCCTGTATGAATAAAAACGCTTTTACACACTATTCACATTAAGTGAACGTTCAAACATTGCTCTAAATGTTGCTTTGCTGTCTGCTTGAATCGCAACTAAAGGGCTTCACCTACATACGGTATTACAAATTATTACAAAAATCGAACCTAAATACACAATGCTAATATTTAATAGAAAATTTATGTTATGAATGAACAGTATGTTAAAAATTGATGGATGCATTTTTGAGAGTCTGCTGCTGGATGTAACAAACGCAGCCTAAGGATAAGTTCCAGTACGGAACAGGCTGTGTGTATTCACCTGGCCTATCTATCCTCCACTCTAATGTCCCTCTTATCAGGGTTTAAAGAAACCACGGAAACATCAACATGAGAGCCGGGTGTTTTACAAGAGCATTTTTTTTTTAGAAATATAAAATAAATCAGATTTAGTATATGGATAGACCTTTAATTCATTGCAAAAACAATGGTAAAATTCAGAATAGTGCATACAGGCTGGTAACAATTTGATGATATCCAATCCGTACAAAATAGCACCTATAGAAAATTTAGAAAAAGACTAAAAATAACGAATAATACAGTAATAGAGGAGAGGAGGCACAAAAATAAACAAAACCATTGGATGTTAATGAAAAAATATGGTCATTCCACCATTCATGTTCATAGTTAAAGAAAATGTTACAGCATGAACAACAAAATTAACTTAACCGATTCAATAACGGTTATAAATATATATATATAAGGTAGAGGTTACTTATATAAAAAAGGTAACTTGGCATAATATATAACAAATTTGCTATATGCAACAAAGTATTTTTGTTTGCGATACTTGCAGTTTGCATTAAAGTTTTTCTTCCCCTCCCGATAACTGCACGAGTAGTGATGTTGAAAGACGAGACGTTCACAGTGGGGCAGCAATAGTCATCATTGTTTAAATTACTAATCAAGCTGTCAATGTAATCAATCAGAGCTTTAATATAACAATGTGCTTTAATATACTTATCTCTCTCATCTCATTTTTCTCTTGTAATGTATCTTTCATTTATCAATTCTGATTGAAATTACCTACTTAAAATTATCTGCTAGATTAAGGACTTGCCCGAAACGCTGCGCGTACTAGTGGCTTTGCAAGAATGTAAATACTGTACTATCCAATGTATTCTCACAAACCCAATGTACCTTCTTGTATATATAAAAATAAATAAATAAATAAATAAAATTTGGCAGAGGTTGGAAGTTATTGATGACTTCTATTTGTGTGAGGATAAAGACTGCAACAAAGTTCTGTTTTTTTGTAATCATGTTTACAAGTTATTTAGCTTCATGTACAATAAAGAAAACTGGATGTTTTAAATCTGAACAATGTTGTCATTGAATATTAGCCAGCAGATAACTAATTTAACATTACAATGCTTCATAGCACACAAGTACAAATGAGCAAGAACCTACAATCATACTGAAAAACAGCAGCACTGCAAGGGAACGATCTGAACAATTAACAGCAGCTGTGTAAGGTTTAAGTCAAGGAATAACACTGTTGGACAGAGATCGATGAAGACAGACCAGACAAAGAAGAAGAAAAAAAGGAGACCTAACCGAACACAAATCTTGTAACCGCAGCTAGAAAGACGAATTACTAGCGGACAGACTAGTAGATATTGTTGAGCAGCAAACAGCATAGAAAATGTGATTAAAAAGGAGATATGTAGAGTCTGTTAATAGCAGACATAGCAAGATGGGGAACACTGAAATACTCCACCCATATCATATATCAAAGTGTGCCCGAGAGCCAAATCAAGTTCAACTACCGGGTATTTAAAAAAAAATTAGAACTGGATTTTACTTTGTTTTATAAACACTCGAGCCAAGTAAAATGAGGTGGTAATATAGATGCTTTGATCTTTCACAGAAAGACACACTTAAAACTATTTGGGGGTGGGGGTTCTTACTGGTGGACTTAAATTCCGTGAACGGCCTAAAGTTTTCCCCTCTAGTCATTTTGACCTCTATTTCGGTCATCTTATTATCCATTACAATTTTTTTAATTATTTCATCAATATACATTGTACATACATTTAACTAATTCCAACTTCCCTTTAATATTCGGAAGACTACACTCAATTATAGTAGGAATGTTATTACCAATCTTAAATTTGGCTCTACCAACTTTAAAATGTTAGCATGATCGGTTTTTAATAAAAATTTACGTCAGTCTCTGTATTTAACACGTTTGTACACTTGTGACAGCAAACTTGTTTTGTGACCTACGAACACTTAACTTTAATAAATTATTCGCTTCTTGAATAAAAAAAAAATAAAGGTGCATCTTAAACTATAATTCCTTCTCCATGTTGGATCCAGCTTCACAAAATAGCATTTAACGATCAGAGTTGAAATAGCATGCTTAACTTCGCTCAGAAATATAAACTTTCATTTAGTTTGAGTAGTCTTTAAAACTAAAACTGCAGAGAAAGACTTATAAAATAGAGACTGTTCTATTGTGTTATTTGACCACACAAGACGATGGAAAAACGAATTCTTTCACGCCTCCACTTCTACAGGAAATTTCATTGTAGAGTTTAAAACAAAAGTTAATATGGACACAATAATATGCCCTCAGAGTTGTCTAATTAGAAGTATATAGAATTAAAATTTGCAATAAATCTAAATTTAAGACTAAAGTATGAATATTGGATGGTCAAGCAAACTACTTATGTGGTAACTGGTAACGCGAGCTCCCAGCAGCAGAGATAGGCATAACCCCATAACAAAAGCAGTGATTTAACAGATCACCGTGTACACACGGTGATCTGTTAATCACCGTGTGTGATTAACAGATCACCGCTTCTGTGTATACACACAGTTAACTTTAGTTCTGCATTATAATCAGGACTAAAGTAGATTTGCTGGTTGGTCAGTAAATAAGCTTTTATTGATGGACTTAACCCTACTGCAGTTTGGTTTAGTATTGGGGCTGAAAAGCCTGGTCAATCAACCAAAAGCGGTGTTAAGCACCGTACCTACTGTGGCGGAATGTTTATATATACATATATAGCATGATGAGCAGTCAGCAGAGGGGTAAAGAGAGAGATCTCAGCCGTGTGTGGCGAGAGCCGGGGGCGCCAGCACAGCTATCACCAGCAGGAGGAGGTTGTGATGGTGCTGTAGGCAGACGTGCACACTTGAACCTGAAAGACATGTTAGTTGTTAGTAATACATGCTCAGTTAACTGACAACTCAAATATATTTGCGAGAAAAATTATGTCTAATTTTAAAAAGGTATCCAACCGACTGGTTGATACCTGGTTACCTGATTGATTGGGTTCTAGGAGTTCTTCTACTCCCCAAGCCCGGCCCGAGGCCAGGCTCGACTTGTGAGAGTTTGGTCCACCAGGCTGTTGCTTGGAGCGGCCCGCAGGCCCACATACCCACCACAGCCCGGTTGGTCCGGCACTCCGACTGGTTTGGTTTTGTGCTTTTTAAGGCCTATCAACATCTGGGAGGTTGATTAAGACCATTAAAAGCGTTCACCGACCAACCAGCAAGAATACCCTAGTTCTTGATATAGTCCAAAGAGAAAGTAAACAATATATATCGAGAAGCATGGGGGGGGGGGTTATACCTCTATCCCTTCTCAAAAATTAACCGACCGATTACCAGATATTTATTTCCTCTTGTTTAATTTTTGTAAACATATGTAACTGTATAACTTTGTATAATAAAATGTACAACATATAAAAAAGGGGGTGGTAGGAGACGTGAACATTCATACGTAGTCAGAGTTAAATGGCAAGTTTTTTCTGAATGCTCCGTGTTCCCTTCTTTGACGCTGAGAGTCCCTACAATTGCACCAGAGGGGGGGGAGGGGGGGGGGGTTACCCCTTTAATAAAGGGCGATACAATAAATACGTAGAAATTACGTAGAAATACGTAGTCTATAATACGTAGAAATATATATATATATATATATATTATATATAATATATATATTATATATTATATATATATATATATATATATTTACTTTTGAAGAAAGATGTATCGAGGAAAGGTGTGCAGAGCTGGTTAGTTGGGTCAGAAGCTTGCGTGACCCGTGATCCGATTACTGGACCCCACAGCTCGCGCACGCACATGTGCACACGTGGGGCGCCGGTGGCTGTGTGGACAGCAAGATGGGCATGTAATCCTGTGGCCAGGGTTCGATTCCCGGCGAGGCACAAAATGAGCACTTTCTTTCACCCTGATGCCTCTTACCTAGCAGTAAAGAGGTACCTTGGAGTTAGACAGCTGTTACGGGCTGCTTCCTGTGTGTGTATGTGTATTCACCTAGTTTTATTCACTGTTGTGTTTGCGGGGGTTGAGCTTTGCTCTTTCGGCCCGCCTCTCAACTGTCAATCAACCGTTTACTATTTTTTTCACACACACCCCAGGAAGCAGCCCGTGGCAGCTGACGAACGCCCAGATACCTATTTACTGCTAGGTAACAGGGGCATTCAGAGTGAAAGAAACTTTGCCCATTGTTTCTGCCTGGTGCGGGAATCTAACCCGCGCCACAGACTTAAGAGTCCTGCGCGCTATCCACCAGGACCCCGTGTGTGCGTGTATACTCACCTAGTCGTGTTTGCGGTGGTTGAGCTCTGGCTCTTTGGTCCCGCCTCTCAACCGTCAATCAACTGGTGTACAGATTCCTGAGCCTACTGGGCTCTATCATATCTACATTTGAAACTGTGTATGGAGTCAGCCTCCACCACATCATTGCCTAATGCATTCCACCTGTTAACTACTCTGACAATAAAAGTTCTTTCTGACGTCTCTGTGGCTCATTTGAATACTCAGTCTCCACCTGTGTCCCCTTGTTCGCGTACCTCCCGTGTTAAACAGTTAATCCTAATCTACCCTGTCAATTCCTCTGAAAATTTTGTAGGTAGTGATCACGTCTCCCCTTACTCTTCTGTCTTCCAGTGTCGTGAGGTGCACTTCCCGCAGCCTGTCCTCGTAATTCATGCCTCTTAGTTCTGGGACTAGCCTAGTGGCATACCTCTGAACTTTTTCCAGCATCGTCTTGTGAATGACAAGGTACGGGCTCCTTGCTGGGGGCCACATACTCCAGGATTGGTCTTACGTATGTGGTGTACAAAGTTCTTAATGATTCCTTACACAGGTTCCTGAAGGCTGTGTGCATGTGTAAAAAAATGGAATCGTTGAGCGACAGTTGAAAGGCGGGGCGAAAGAGCAGAGCTCAAACCCCGCAAATACAACTAGGTGAATACACACACACAAAAAAAGGTGATCTCGCAGCTAAGCGTTTGCGGTTAGCAGTTCAAGAGGCTGGGTTCGTTTACCGGTCGAGACAGAACAAATGGGGTTGAATTTCTTTCACCTGGTGCCTCTATTCACCAAGCAGTAACTGGACACCTGCTAGTTAGGTGTTGTGGGCTGTTGCCTGCATCCTAAGGATGTGTGCACGTGTCGTCACGAAGAGAGACACACGCGCACACACATATCAGGAGCCTCCTTCACACGCGCAGTGTCAATGTCATCATGTATAGGGTTCAATAACAACAAAGCCATGAGAGCACAACACAACCACTGACGACAGGAAAACAATCTACGAAGGACATACAAGAAGGCATATACCGTGCACCCGTGATGCTCTAGCCTCCGGAGGCATATACCGTCCACCCGTGATGCTCTAGCCTCCGGAGGCATATACCGTGCACCCGTGATGCTCTAGCCTCCGGAGGTATATCTTGAGGTTATCTCGAGATGATTTCGGGGCTTTAGTGTCCCCGCGACCCGGTCCTCGACCAGAGTGACAGCTGACTAACACCCAGGTACCTATTTTACTGGTAAGTAACAGGGGGCATAGGGTGAAAAACTCTGCTCATTGGTTCTCGCCGGCGCCCGGGAGAGAACCCGGGACCACAGGATCACAAGTCCATTGTGCCGTCTGCTCGGCCGACCGGCTCCGGCACATAGTTTGGTCTGGAAAGACAACATTGGTCTGGCATCCAACACCGTCGGCAGACTGGGTATCCGTGAACAGGGCAACAGAATATTAATAAAAAAAAATAGTTAAAGGAGCTTAAGAACAAGAGGAGGGGGTAGAAGCCTTTGTCACATGGGTCTACAGACTTGCAAAAATTTCAAGTGGGATCCGCCAGGGAGGCAAGGATGAAACGACACTAGGAAAAGTATTGTCACTACAAACTGAAAGGGAAGCTTTTAAAATACATTCCAAAACAGAAAATGACGAAAGGAAAAGCCCACCGGAGGGGCAACAGCCAAAGTATAGCAAGAGCGAGAATGAGGAGGGTGCAGAGACCTCGCTAGGTAAGGAAGGTAGTAATGATCTAGATCTTGGAGCGACAAGGTGTCCGTTTCAACATACGCTCTGTATAGGAGACGAACGAAAGGCAGAGCCGAGGCGCAACCCAATATGGTGTAGAGCATCAAGAATAAACCACCGAAGGAGAGCCCGAGGAATAACAGGGCAGAAATAATCCTGTTTAGATAATACAAGCGAAGAGTGCAAATAGAAAAGCGAGCGTCTTATCAGCTCCCCAGGAAGTATGAGACAAGACCAAGCAAGGCAAAGGTCTTTAACAACATTCAACTATAAATGGGAATATAGGAAGGGTAGTCACTAGCCACCTCTTAATTATTATGTATGAAAAAAAAAAAGAATGCCGTGGTAAGTTTCCAAGAAGTTCCGTCTTGATCTTACGTCAAGCTTCTCGAGGTCTCTAGCTAACCTAAATACAAGCCACAACAGTTTACCAACTCTGGAGCCAGATTCACGAAAGCACTTACGCAAGCACTTACGAACGTGTACATCTTTCCTCAATCTTTGACGGCTTTGTTTACATTTATTAAACAGTTTACAAGCATGAAAAGTTGCCATTCAATTGTTGTTATTGTTATAAACAGCCTCCTGGTGCTTCGGAGCTCATTAACTGTTTAATAATTGTAAACAAAGCCGCCAAAGATTGAGAAAAGATGGACAGGTTCGTAAGTGCTTTCGTGAATCTGGCCCCTGGTCTTCTCACCCCTGACCGATCCTCTACCGTCTACACACAAACCATATCTTACACATCAATAATACTTTATTCATAATACTGTGCATACAAAGGATATTCGACAGAGGTATAATTTTAAGTACAGGGTTTGCATATAAAATTAACCCCACACCTATGTACATATTTAGTATTCGAACCAATTAGGAGATATGAATATTGTTTTTTATATGCTATTAGCTGTACCCGGCCACGCGTTGCTGTGGCTCAGCAACGCAGCCACAACAACCCTCCCGCCCACCACCACTTCCCCCCCCCCCCCTCATCCTCTCCCCCATTCCCTCCTTTCCCCCACCCCCTCCCCACCATTTCCCACTCCCCCTGACAAGAGGGAGCCAGCTTAGCTTAGCTGCCAAAACACCCACACATCGTGTCAGCAAGGCGGACAGTCCGCCTGCTTTCATACCTCTCACTGTATTTCCCACTTCTATACTTCCCGTCACCAATGCCTCTCCTTCCTCTTTACCCCCCCCCCACCCCCCCCCAAAAAAAAATAAAATAAAAATAAAAAAAGTGAAAAAAATAAATATTCGCGAATGAACGGTATGGTAAACACATCTCAATTTCAACGCAATGTCATGTAAAATAATTAAATCAAAATGAAAATTTAATTTAACAATGCAATCAGAAACATTGAAATTGAATCTTCACATATTTAGTAAAGCGTGTGTTACTTTTACGTGCAACAGATGGCGCTATTTAAAAAAAATTTTTACCCGTCACAGGTGTGGCATGTATATGATAGGTATATACAAACATGCACATATTCCAATGGAGCAATGTGTTAAAATTTCAAAGCAATCGGCGAAGAACTTTTGTAAATTAGCGATTTTGAACAAACGAACATTTACATTTTTATGTATATAGATTAACACTCACCACTGCTGAAGATACGCCCCCAGAACGACAAGGGTGGCGATGGCCTTAGGATAAGGTAGACACTCTGCTCGTAGGAGTTCAATGTACGGTAGTCTTCGCTACCCGCACTACTAGAGCTCATTCCAGTTTGGGTCGCCGAGCACTTCACAGCGAGATCTCTGCCCGAGGCAATCAGTTTGCTGCTGACGGTGAATTCTAGTCTAGATTTAGCCCGGGCCATTTTTCGTTTGAACACTGGGGAGTATGTTGTTACCCATGATGGATCCACCTGCAAGTGTGCAGTATTATTAATGAAACTTGCTTGGCTTATGTATGTTTAGCTTATTAATAATATACTGTTATCAAGTACCCGAAATAATCAGATATGGTACATAATATTGTGTATTAATTTTAGCTAACCCTTAAGTGTTTGCATCATTAACTATAGATAATATACAATGGACTGTGTCCAGGACTAAATTAAACTTGTTGGCTGGTCAGTAAGCATTTGCGAGATCTTAATATAACCCCAGAGACTTCTTAGTATTGAGAAATCAAACTGCCAATACACCGAGAAGCACACTTTGTTTTCTGCAAATACAGGAAAGTTTTTACTTCTGTCTAAATCATGTTTGGAGAAAAAAAAATCCCGGTTGGTCAGTATCTTTTATCTAGTAGACTTTAAGCATAATGGAATTCACATCGGCTATTCCAACTATCATTTTATTATGTAGGAAGAACTGCACATCTATTGATCATCCAATAAGGTTAACAAACATGTACATGCTACCATCTTCTTCTTGAGGTTATCTTGAGATGATTTCGGGGCTTTTAGTGTCCCCGCGGCCCGGTCCTCGACCAGGCCACCACCGCCAGGAAGCAGCCCGTGACAGCTGACTAACACCCAGGTACCTATTTACTGCTAGGTAACAGCTAGCTAACCATGGCTATAGTCTCAGGCTCGACTACAAGTACCTCAGTGAGTTTGCACCACCTGAGGACGTAGACTTCACAAACTGTAAACACATCCGAACTAGTTACATGCTTTGCGTCACTAACTGAATGAGGAGAGAAAAAACGAAACTTGTCTATCTGTGGTGTTGAAGAAATGTGCAAGTACCCCATCATAATTATGTAGCATTGGAAATCCCAGCTAAATAGTCCAAGTTTTACTTACGGTAGTTAATGCTTATGGACATTAACTAAGCTGCCGCCCATGCAGTTGGATGGGTGTGGACCAGGATTATTTACGCTAACCCTATTTCCATCTAAATAACTATGCTGTAATGCTATTCAAGATAAATTCTTAATTCTACACGCGTCTACTTGCAGAAAGGGGTCTTTTCCCCGAGGAATATCATTACAAAGTTGATTGTCACAAGTTTCCTGTCTCCTTAAAGAAGGGCTTTACAATACTAAATAATCAGTCTCATTATTATTAGTATGTAAAACATAAAATCTATGTATCCTCCAAAGGATACCTGATCAACCAGGCTGTGACTCATACGTCAGGTTGCGAGCAGCCGCGTCCAACAGCCTGGTTGATCAGTCCAGCAACCAGGAGGCCTGGTCGACGACCGGGCCGCGGGGACGCTACGCCCCGGAAATTTAAATAAGTTTAGCGAGGTAAAATACACACAAAAGGATGAGGTAGCTCAAGCTATTCTCACCCCATTCAGTACAACGTGTTAATATATACATAGACACACATCACAAATAAACATATTAACGCCCCGGAAGCACCTCAAGGTAAGGTATTAAACAAGACTGATGACTTACACGTCTCTCGTTGATAGACCAAGTAAGGACCGGTGGAGGGCTGGCCGGTGGAGAGGTGCAGATGAGGAAGACTCTCTGGCCTGCTGTTATATTGTTGCTCTCAGTCCCAGGAGCTGTGGTGATCACCGGCGGACCGTCCGGTTCGTCTGAGAAGGTATTTCAAGTATGTTTATTGAGATAAGCAATAAATACATCTCAAAGGGATAGAGTAGCTTAGGCTATTTCTACCCCCCCAGAGAAGGCATCAATACTTAGACTATACACCAAGGCTAGTAGGGCAGGGGAAGGGGGGGGGGGGAGGAGACAGAACTAGATGTTGACCAGACCACACACTGGAAGGTGAAGGGACGACGACGTTTCGGTCCGTCCTGGACCATTCTCAATCGACTTGAGAATGGTCCAGGACGGACCGAAACGTCGTCGTCCCTTCACCTTCTAGTGTGTAGTCTGGTCAACATTCTTTAGCCACGTTATTGTGACTCATCGCCTGAATAGAACTAGATCTCTTCTCCCTCTCCCCTCCCGTTTTTACATACAAAAAGGCTACGAGAAGTAATATTTTGGTCATTAAGTGCTACACTAATCACAAAACTAGTAACCGTTTCGGGCATGTCTTAAAGCTAAACAATTTACAGTTAAAAATTATTAGGTGAAACGGTCAATTTTTAATAAACATGAAATTGGTACATAAGTGAACTTGCGCATTATAAACATAAAATGGCGATTAAAGACATTACCTCTACCTATAACTTATCCTCAGTCCTTTGGTTAATTCATGTAGTGGTTAAAGGCACAGTGGAGGACACAAGAATGCGAAAACCAGTTAACTAAATTTAGTTACAACATATTATTGGAACTAAAAAAAATTAACTAAAAAATTAGTATCAAGTTCTAGATATTAATGTTTTTCTTGCCCGAAACGCATTGCGTAATAGTGGCTTCAGGCATTGTATGTACCAGCTCTATCTATATATCAATCCATTAATGTAACATCACTTGTATGTATGTACCTTACCTGAATACACATATTTATTTATTATTTAAAAAAAAAAAAAGATTGTATTTAACACCTTGGTATCCTACGGGAATGATCACCCTTTATCCAGCACTTGCCGAACTGAACAACAAAAAAGGGAAACATAAAATTGTTCCAAACAAATGAGCAGCAGTAGCGCAGTCAAAAAGGCCAATGAACTACCTATAATACCGAGGTACCAGACGCCTGAATACTTATTAATATTCGGCTGCACTAAGAATATTGTACTCTAGGCAATCTATAACCAATTGTAACCAAGCTGTCTACTACTAAACTTAAGTGAACGGAAAGTTAACCATGAATCCGGCGAGTGACAACAAGCTCATAATCTAACACTGTTGTTGTTCAAGATTCGCTACTCGGAACAAAAAGTTCCAAGTAGCACGGGCTACCTTGAGGTGAGCCCGCAACTTATCTGGCACAGGAGCGGGCCAAGTAGCACGGGCTATGGTGAGCCCATAGTGGACTTACCTGGCACAGGAGCGGGGCTGTAACTTGTCTAACACTGAACAAAACATTCTTAAAAAGCCAGCTGTGGCGTCGGGCGTATTTGTATGCGAGGCGGACATCAACTACCCTGAGCCACCACCAGCCACGTGACGTCACCTCCGTCCTGCCTTACCACTGGCCGACGACATCGTTGATCGCAACGTCACCGGGGAAACGAGCCACATGGTCGTTTAAGTGGTTTGAAGGATAATTCACATTTAGGTGAGGTAATTATCAAAAGAAGGCACCAAACCGGGAAGGCTATGTAGCACCATCATAGTGCGGAATAATCAGAGGGCGCTAAATATCACCAAGGATGCCAATACGAGAACAAAAACGCATAAGGCGAACGATATCAAAAGTATCCGATTCACCCAGAATGCTATCGAGGGACAATAATTCACATTTAGGTGATGGGCGTTAGAATGCAGAGAGAACTTGGAGGGTGGACTATAGTATCCCTGACAGTCTGTAACATTATAACAATGTAGCTGTATTTCTAAATAATAAAATACTAGGCGAGTTGCTAAGTAAAATACCAGCTACAAATTCAAAATAAAATATCCAAGTAAGCAAACAATTTTGCATTAAAACAAAATATTATATGGTAGGAGCTTTATGATGGTGGATTCCGCTTTTTTGGAAAGATATATCTATCTATCTATCTATCTATCTATCTATCTATCTATATATATATATATATATATATATATATATATATATATATATATATATATATATATATATATATATATATATATATATACAGCACAAAAATAATTCAGCAGGATAAGTTTAGTTTAGTTCATTTATTATGCACCCCATACCCAGCTTGTGGGCAAGATAAGGAGAGAAGAAAAAAACATTGTCTGCACAGAACTGATCCTCAAGGCAATCTTTCTCTCTTAATAATGTAGAAGTTTCCGTGAGACTACCGAGCTAGTGGGCATAAAAGCAAATAAAGAAAGATGCGTAGAAATAACCCCATTTGTGGAGGTAAAGCAAAAGTGATGCGCGTGAAAGGAATGGCCACGGGGACCCGGGATGTAAATCATGTGTCACTTAGAGAAATTTGGGTCAACGGCCAACACGAGAACATACTTCAGGCCAGGGGAGGGAGGAGGTGTATCGTCTCCCGAGATGCCTTCCTTTTTAGTCCCCCTCTCCTCCCTCCACACTTCAGCCCTGCCTCCCCCTCTAGCCCTGCCTCCCCCTAGCCCGGCCTCCCCCAAGCCCTGCCTCCTCTCTAGCCCTACCTCATTCCAGTGCTGCCTCACCCGAGCGCTGCCTCACCTTACCCAACCCAGTCACAGTTATACACCTTATCAACCATTACCTCTATTTGGACTAACATCTTGCCCTAACTCCATACCACAAAATATACTTACATATTACAGTCATGTTGGCCTGTTTAAACACCGTCTCGAAGCTGTGCTCAGCGAGGACCTCGCACTTGTAGACGCCGGCAGTGTCGAGACCAACTTCATCCAGAACTACCACCTCTTGCCCGTCGTTGCCCTGCGACAGACGACAATGTGTTGTTGCTGTTATAGATTCAGCTACTTGGAACAAGTTCCAAGTAGCACGGGCTATGGTGAGCCCGTAGTGGACTTACCTGGCACAGGAGCGGTGCTCCAGAACCGCTCCACTTAAATGGAGCAACCGGTGCAGGCGACAAGGATTGGGAGGTTTTTATATCTGTTACTCGTCTTAGTTACGTATCATTGAGGTCAGGTCACATGAGGATAACATCCATCAGTAGGCATCCATCAGTCTCTGGAGACTATGGGGTTGCGCTCTGGTTGTCGGTCTGGAGTGGCCTCTCCAGGGCGCAAAGCCAGGGGTAGGTTGATACGGAGAAGCTGTTACCCAAGTAGCAGGCCTCTACACGGGGGGGGGGGGGGGGGTGGAACCTGCTGCTTGGTCATGTCAAAACGGCGCTGGAACCAATCGTATTGGCGTTTGCGTTTCCATTGGAGACTTTCGGCGTTGTGAAGAGGGGAGGGGGGGGGGGAACCTGCTGCTTGGGTAACAGCTTCTCCGTATCAACTTAGGATAACATACATACATACATACACACATACATACATACATACATACATACATACATACATACATACATACATACATACATACATACATACATACATACATACGAGGAAGCTTAGCACGCAGATGTATCACATGAATGTCAGGAAGATCTTTAAAGTGAGGTGAGTGAAAGTATTCTAGAACAGACATAATAAAGAATGGCCGTATTTTCTAAACAAACACGACGATTAACAATGGGGTTGAGAGACAGACGGCACTTTACCAACGTTTAGAAAGTCCGAGCTCAGGAGCTGAGGGCCAAACACTGACAAAATTAGCATTTTTAAAACCACCGAATCACCTCCTGTGGTTGATTGTTCAATAAACCCTTGAACTATATGTTTAACACATCTCTAACCCTGTCCATGGAGGACAGAAGAAAATGTATATATGCTGGTTAGCATTGTAACTGTCTGGCCACGTCTGTGGTAGAAAATAATAATAATAATAAAAAAAAACTCACAAAATTGAGGGAGTTGGTGGCTGTCAAGTTGACAGTAACGCCTGTGGCCGGGAAGTCCTTCCTGATGGGGGGGATGTACTGGTAGAACTCCTCGTCGCCTCTCCACCACTTAAGAGAGTATAGTTTGTCTCCATCTTCCTGGTAGTGGCACTCTAGGGTCGCCCGTCGACCAGCAAGGACCACTGGTGGCACTACCACCTTTTCCACCAAGATGCTGGTAGCTGTAGAGAGATTAGAATGAGAGAGGGGGGGGGGGTAATTAGATTGGTTTTATGATTGGGTATGATTTATGATTTATGCCCGAAACGCTTTGCGTAATAGTGGCTTTAGGCATTGTAGGTACTAGCCCTATCTATAAATCCATCACTCTTTGTAAAATCTCTTGTATGTATGTACCTTACCTAAATAAACATTTGATTTGATTTGATTGATTGCTGAGATTGTCAGGGGGTTACACCTTAAATTGTTAATTCAATAACTTTTTTTTGTCGTTAGGGTTCGTGATGAACGCCTGGCTCTGACACTAATGGTAGACGGACTTGCACTGACGCTAATGGTAGACGGACTGGCACTGACGCTAATGGTAGACGGACTGGCACTGACGCTAATGGTAGACGGACTTGCACTGACGCTAATGGAAGACGGACTGGCACTGACGCTAATGGAAGACGGACTGGCACTGACGCTAATGGTAGACGGACTTGCACTGACGCTAATGGAAGACGGACTGGCACTGACGCTAATGGAAGACGGACTGGCACTGACGCTAATGGAAGACGGACTGGCTCTGACACTAATGGTAGACGGACTGGCACTGACGCTAATGGAAGACGGACTGGCACTGACGCTAATGGAAGACGGACTGGCACTGACGCTAATGGTAGACGGACTGGCTCTGACACTAATGGTAGACGGACTGGCACTGACGCTAATGGAAGACGGACTGGCACTGACGCTAATGGTAGACGGACTGGCACTGACGCTAATGGAAGACGGACTGGCACTGACGCTAATGGTAGACGGACTGGCTCTGACACTAATGGTAGACGGACTGGCACTGACGCTAATGGTAGACGGACTGGCACTGACGCTAAAGGTAGACGGACTGGCTCTGACACTAATGGTAGACGGACTGGCACTGACGCTAATGGAAGACGGACTGGCACTGACGCTAATGGAAGACGGACTGGCACTGACGCTAATGGTAGACGGACTGGCTCTGACACTAATGGTAGACGGACTGGCACTGACGCTAATGGAAGACGGACTGGCACTGACGCTAATGGTAGACGGACTGGCACTGACGCTAATGGTTGAGTCTGGCATTGACACTAATGCATAACCAAATTATGTCCAATTCTAGAATCATTATTTGGCTACACTTCCTCCCACCGAATACAAAATGGTTATGTGGTACATAATTAACTAATTACACTAAAATAAATGTTGTAATTACTTATCGGCATTGCGCAGTCTATTTTCATATATTTTTGTAACGTATGGGTACAGGTACAGACGACTTCTGAATCCTGTCTGCAGGCTGAGAGTTTCTCTTAGATCATGGTGAGCCTTCTTGAGGTTATCTTGAGGTTATCTTGAGATGATTTCGGGGCTTTAGTGTCCCCGCGGCCCGGTCCTCGACCAGGCCTACACCCCCAGGAAACAGCCCGTGACAGCTGACTAACACCCAGGTACCTATTTTACTGCTAGGTAACAGGGGCATAGGGTGAAAGAAACTCTGCCCATTGTTTCTCGCCGGCGCCTGGGATCGAACCCAGGACCACAGGATCACAAATCCAGCGTGCTGTCCGCTCGGCCAACCGGCTCCCTCGCTCGGCCAACCGGCTCCCTTACCCACTAGTTTTCCCTAGAGCACGACCCGTTAGACGGTTAACAACTAGGTACCCAATTACTGCTAGGTGAGCAGGGGCGTACAGATAAAGACTGGCGCCCAGTCAATCCTCCCTGGCCAGAACCCGAACTCAAACTAAATTGCTGGCGAGGCGCGTGTGTGTTACCGCTGCGCCACCAAAGACTGCAACTGCATGAGGTGGGAAAACGATTAGTCAAGACGTTTGCAGACGTCGTTGAAGTTTAGTGCATATGTAGCAAACCAAAATTCCCAGTCATATGTAGCGGGGAAAAAACGAAATGTTTGATAAGAAGGCGTGTTGAAATGTCGTTTTTGGCGGGTGTGTTTGGCGCGTTAGATCAAAGCGGCGTTGTAGCGGCACTTGTCGCCTCGTGCCGGCCACCCTGCAGTTTCCATTTACTGCTCTGATTGCGTTCTGATACATCAGTGTTCTGCAGGGCATTTCAAAGCCCGCTGTTACCTGCCTGTGAATTATTTTGACGGGAACATTTGATATTTAAATTTGAATTTGTGTTCGGTACCACGGAATTACCCCCGTAAGTTTAACTTGGCGCGTATGAGAGCAAGATCAACAACATACTCTGTTTCTTGTACCGAAATTGGTGTCTAGTATGGTGCTCAGTCTAATCCCATATGTCTATACAGACTAAACCACAATTTCCTACTATTAAAATCAAGTTTGTCTTCTAATGTTTATTATTTATACTTTGTATAAATCTTTACTAGAAAGTACAATCAATTATTTTATAAAATATTGATTTTTAAATGCTACATTCTCGCAAAAGTGATGTCATTTAAAACGTATTTATATTCAGTAAATATTTTACTGAATATAACAAAGGGTTGAAATCAATGATTTTAGCACGAATCCCCTCAATATTTTTTATGTTATCTACACCACCATTGGCTGTGAGCCCCGATAACAAAGCATCTGGCTGTGAGCCCCGACAACACAGCATCTGGCTGTGAGCCCCACCAAACAAAGCATCTGGCTGTGAGCCCCGACAACAAAGCATCTGGCTGTGAGCCCCGACAACAAAGCATCTGGCTGTGAGCCCCGATAACAAAGCATCTGGCTGTGAGCCCCGATAACAAAGCATCTGGCTGTGAGCCCCGATAACAAAGCATCTGGCTGTGAGCCCCGACAACACAGCATCTGGCTGTGAGCCCCACCAAACAAAGCATCTGGCTGTGAGCCCCGACAACAAAGCATCTGGCTGTGAGCCCCGACAACAAAGCATCTGGCTGTGAGCCCCGATAACAAAGCATCTGGCTGTGAGCCCCGATAACAAAGCATCTGGCTGTGAGCCCCGATAACAAAGCATCTGGCTATGAGCGCAGATAAGGTAGTGTTTTCGGTGACCATTTAGCACTGACGCGGAGCCACAATGCTCCTATATCTCAGTATAATAATGCTCAATGCAGTATAATAATGTTCAGTATATGCTCAATGCTCAATTAATGCTCAATGCAGTATAATAATGCTCAGTATAATAACAACACAGTTCCTATATTTCAGTGTAATTAATTTGAAGCAATTTTAATGATCCTTCCTTTGGAGGATTATTAAGATCACTACAACAGCCTAGCAAGTAACAAGTATATTATAATCCTGACCATTATTGAATGCAAAGTGTATACATAACGAAATAGGTATACATTGTTTAGTTCATATGTAATTTCATGTATGTTATTCTCACATATAATGTATAATGACTAAAGGTATTGTATTATATTATTTTAATAGTATTATACTTTATTTAGTATTACTTTAATAACATTATAGTATTACACGAGAATCACATGGGGTCTTTAAGGGCTGAAGATGATAACACTATTCTATAACTTCCTTAATTAGTACTTGAATCCCTCTAGCACGCAAGCAACTTTAACTGCGAGTAGGGTCTAATACCTAGACAAATTCGCATCACTTAACGGGGCTGAAGATGATAACACTATTCTATAACTTCCTTAATTAGTACTTGAATCCCTCTAGCACGCAAGCACCTTTAACTGCGAGTAGGGTCTAATGCCTAGACAAATTCGCATCACTTAACGTCATTAATGCTATTGGGATTTTTTAGCATCACCTAGTTAGCTTTTTTGACACACTGTACTCCACTTCATATAGTCTACGGTAGCTGCACTAATGCAGATATACCTCATATATTAATAAAAAAAAATGCTATTAAGTAAGCCCAACCTGATCCGACCTAATCAAAATAAGATATAACGTGTTTTGTGTAAGTGTACAAGTAATGTCCCTGTGACGTTATAGCTGGTTGGCTGCATAATTTTTATTCCGACACAGGTTTAAGATTCTACCGGAATGATGAGAATAATGAAAACATTCCCCATATCCTGCTATGCCCCTGTTACCTAGCAGTAAAATAGGTACCTGGGTGTTAGTCAGCTGTCACGGGCTGCTTCCTGGGGGTGGAGGCCTGGTCGAGGACCGGGCCGCGGGGACACTAAAGCCCCGAAATCATCTCAAGATAACCTCAAGATATACCCGTTTTTCAGCCCGTCCTCGTCAACCAAGGTCTAATGCTCGCTAATCCACCCGCCCCCCCCCCCCACCTCACTGTTTAATGAATAGAAAGTATACACACGACTCATAGAAAGTATACACACGACTCACAGCTGATGACGTATGTATTTTTCTCGAACAGACAATAGAGCGATGGCCTCTTCTTGCAGGTCGGCGTTCAATCCCCGACCGTCCAGGTGGTTGGGCACCACTTCCTTCCCTCCCTCCTATCCTAAAACCTCATATCCCTTCCAAGTGCTATATGGTCGTAAAGACTTAGCGTTTTCTCCTGATAGCGTTTGAAACCTTACCTCTGTTTAGATTTAGATTTTTTTTTATTCAGGTAAAGGTACATACACTGAGGATGAGTTACAAACATAATGTTGGATTTAAAGATAGAGCTAGTACATACAATACCTAAAGCCACTAGTACGCATAGCGTTTCGGGCAAATGAAAAGCACCTCCGTAAATGCTTCAATAACGTACTGCAAATACCACAAATTTCCAACGGAACCTTCACACCTAAGTTAGGCATTGTCATTCAACACTTCTAGTATGTAATATTAACTTTATTTAATAAAATTCAAATTTTGAATACACACAACGTTAACTTTATTTAATAAAATTCAAATTTTGAATACACACAACGTTAACTTTATTTAATAAAATTCAAATTTTGAATACACACAACGTTAATATTGGTGTATGTGTCTTGGAGATTACCACCGGTTGGACAACACTTCACTGAGGACAGGCTGCTATTTACCGATTCAATTAATTTCTTGAGGTTATCTTGAGATTCTTGAGTTATCTTGAG